CCGCGCAGCCCCCGCCCGCCCGCCGCGTTGTTCTCCGCCACGTACGCGCTGTACGCCGCCTCCTCGAACACCGGCGCGTTGTCGTTCACGTCCGACACCTCCAGCACCAGCTCCCTGCTGCTCCACAGCGACGGCCTGCCCCGGTCCGTGGCAGTGATGGTGATGTTGTAAACGGAGACGTTTTCTCTGTCCAGGGCACTGGCTATTATTAGTTTGTATGTGTTCTCTGATGACATTTCTAATCTGAAGGGCAAATTTTCGTTCATTTTACAGCTCACCTCTCCGTTTTCTCCCGAATCTCTGTCACGGACATTGATCACAGCTACAACTGTGCTCGGGACTGAGTCCTCCGGTATCGGGTTCAAGATAGGAAGTAGGGAAAGGGTTGGTGCATGGTCGTTTACGTCTATAATGTCTATGTGTACTTTGGCATGTGCAGTGAGCCCTCCCCCATCCTTGCCTTCAACACTCACTTCGTAGTATTTCCTTTCTTCATAATCTAAGGGTCCTGTAACCCTCACGTCCCCTGTCCTAGGGTCCAGAGTGAAGAGCTTGCGGATACTTTTTGCTATGTCGCTGAAGGAGTAGGTAATTTCTGCATTTGTACCTTCATCACTGTCAGTAGCTTTCACCTGAAAGGCTAAGGAGCCCTCTGGCAGGTTTTCCATCAGTCGAACAATGTAGATTTCTTTGGTGAATACTGGTGGGTTGTCATTTGCGTCGGTCACGTTAATCTTAATCTGGGCGGTCCCAGATAGAACTGGATCCCCACCATCCACTGCCGTCAGTATCAAATGGTGATTTCTCTGTTTTTCTCGATCTAAGACTTTCTCCAGGACCAGTTCAGCGTGTTTTGTCCCATCAGGGCTCTCCCTCACTAAAAGGGAGAAGAATTGGCTGGGCGTAAGTTCGTAGTTCTGTAGAGAGTTTGCCCCAGTGTCAGGGTCTCTGCCACTGCCCAGTGGGAACCTGGTCCCAGGAAGCGTAGACTCGATTATTTCTATGGTAACAAATTCTCTGTCAAACTGTGGCGCATTGTCATTGATATCCTGGATAGTAACACTCACATGAAATATGTCGAAAGGGTTTTCCACGACTGCCTCCAAACTGAGGACACAGGGCGACACGGCCCCGCAGATGCTCTCTCGGTCTATCCTGTCATTTACACGCAGGTTTGTATTATCCTCCTGGAGAGTGAAGTAGTGCTTTTCGTCACCAGCGACTATCCGCAGCTTGCGCGCCGGCAGCTCGTCCCCGCTGAGCCCCAGGTCCCGCACCAGCGGCCCCACGAGCGAGCCTCTGCCCAGCTCCTCGGGGATGGCGTAGCGGAGCCGCTCGGCCGCCGCCCGCCACCACACGCACAGCAGCACCGCGGCCAGCAAAGCGACCCGCCCAGCGCCTGCCCAGCCCTGAGCTGCCGATCTGACCTCCATTCCCTGCTTTCCTGAAGGGTATTCAGCGGATGATTTAAAATTAGGCTTTCCGGGTAGCTGGACCAGTATCCGAGATAAATAAATACATGAAATCCCTGTTCCCGGTCGGAGGACGGGATGAGTCGAGCGGTTCCTGCTTTTCTCTCTGCTCTGAGCAGTGAGGAGCAGGGTTACGCGGGCGCTGGGGAGGAGCCGACGTCCGAGCAGCTTCTCCGCCTAAGCCAACAGTGACACCCTGAGTCCGTGTCGGAGAACCGCAGAGTCCAAGAGAAAGATCAGACAGAAGGTCCCGCTCTGCACTCCATTGAATCGGGAAGGATTGGAAAATACAGATGTTTTCAGGAGCGAGCAACAGAAAATCCCTATCACTACTGAAACCGTGCGTCTAGGAATTCCTGCTGTCTGAGTTGCTTACACTTGCAAGTCTGTCGGACAGATCCTCCCCCGTTTCTTTAGGGATGTGGGGCAGGACCTTGGTCTCTGCCCCATTGTCAGCTTACTGATCTCTTGGTTGGGGCGCTCGGAGTCGCCGCTGCCATCGTGCCCCCTCCGTGAGGGAAAAGGCAAGGCGGATCTAACCCTGAAACGCTGCTCGTGGTAGTGGGTTTATTCAAGATAGCTGAGAGATCCACAGCTAACACTAACCTTTCCAGCTTTGAATAGTGGTTGTTGATGGAGAAGAGAAACCGGGAATCCCAGGTGCTGAGAACACCAGAGCGGTCACATCAGACCTGATACCATCTCATTCCACATTCAAAGTTCAGCATCATCTTATCAGTACCCATACAACCCAACCCCGAATTCCTCTTTTGTGTGTATCCCACAAACCACTCCCTGATATCCTAAACATGCTGATACTGGTCTCAGGCGTTAAAGAGCAATTCCTGGGAAATGTCGGCGGCATCTATGGTTGTTTGAACAACGACGAGTAAACAGATTCCTTTTGAAAAGCTGTTTTATCTTACCTGTAAATTAGAACCGCGTCTCTCTTACGGTAAAGAAAAAAATCACCAAACCCACAAACAAAATAATAACGACAAAAAATCCAGAAGGAAGGCTGTATATTATCACAGCCCGTTATGCAGAAGATAAAGTGAGGTTAGAAAATACTCCACACTACCTAGTCGATGGAGTTGCTCTGGCACATTCTCCAGTCCTAGGTGTCCGAGATGCCAATAACAAGATTTCCTCCCCGGATCAGTAATGTCTTGTTGGAAAACAGGATTTCCTGCTAACTGTGGTTGTTCATCTAGGATAGGATAATTCCCTTACCTCCAGCTGAACCTTATATACAACTCAGGGTAATAAATTAACATTCTGTCACAACAAGACTTGGATTTGAATTTGTAATGTCTCAGAAGCCGTGCAAGATTGTGAGCGTCTCCACAAGATGTAGAGAGATGGGTATGGTTGTCTACACCGGGGAATTGTGTTGAAATACGTCACAGTCAACTCAGTGCCTCCTATATGGCGAGAATTGCCTGTAACAACCCAGACACACGTTTTGATGCATCACACACAGATACACAGTCCAAATCCGTGTTTTCAAGATTAACTCGCATTCCGGAATTAGATACATTATGAATAGTGATGAATCTTATTATAGTAGTGAATCGTACTTTGCATTTAAGTATTTTTTCATCTAGATTCTAGTAAATATACTTTATTTCGATGACTATGCCTGCACAGTAATCGATAACTACAGTTGTATCGAATCCAAAGGTTAAGTCATGAAACCCAGCAGTGGCAAAAGGACTCTATCAGAGGAATTCTTCACCATTTAAAACTAATCTCTTCAAATGCCCTTCAGAGGAACTAAATAATTCTTTTGTTGAAGGGCGAATATGGAAGAAATCGTGCACTTCAAAGTGTCAGCTTTCAAGGTACAAGGTCCCTGAATTCAACCAGAATTTTAGAGATGATACAGGGGATTAAAATGAAATGCTGGGAACTGGGTGCTAGCAAGTATTTAAATAATTTTAAAGAATGGTAGATCAAGAGAATGAGATTTCCTGGTGAAGTTGCATATGCAACAGAGCCTTACAGCCTTGGGGAAAGCTTGATAAAAAGAGCCCTGACAAGTGGTAGAGAACATGACACCTAAAGCACACAAGGCAGACTCAGAACGCATTCAGGAGATGGCATTCATGAGCAGGTGACTATCCTAAAACCTAGTTTCGAAGACTGTGAATTATCTGTGGCTACCCTAAGAATCCTAAACAGGGCGTCCACTAAATATAATTTAAAAATTAACGCACCTGAAAGGCAACTTGCCCACCGCTTTCAGTAACTTGATCTCCTGAAGGGACAAGATGACCCGAAGCCTCATCTGGTGGTCGCGCCGGGAGGGTGTCGCAGCAGCTGGCGGCCGAGAAGCGCAGCTGGCTCTTGCGCGAGTCGGCCGTGAGCGACACGTCGTGCGAGTAGGACTGCAGGAAGGCGCGCACGCCGTCGATGCCCACGAAGTGCGACACGGGCACGCCGCGCAAGGCGCCGCTCTGGGCCGGCAGCAGGTGCTGGCGGCGCCAGCGGCGCAGGCGCAGCGCCAGCAGCAGCAGCAGGAAGGCGAGGAAGAGGCACGACACGGCGGCCACGGCCAGCACGAGCCAGCGCGTCAGGCTGCCGGCCGGCTCGCCCGGCGCCGCCGCCTCGGCCGCGCTGCCCAGCTCGGCCAGCAGCTCGGCCACGCTCTCGGCCAGCAGCACGCTCAGCGTGGCCGTGGCCGACAGCGCCGGCCGCCCGTGGTCCTTCACCAGCACCACCAGGCTCTGGCGCGCCGCGTCGCGGGCCAGCGGCGAGCGCGCCGTGCGCACCTCGCCGCTGTGCAGCCCCACGCGGAACAGCCCCGGCTCCGTCGCCTTGGCCAGCTCGTACGACAGCCACGCGTTCTGCCCCGCGTCCGCGTCCACCGCCACCACCTTGGCCACCAGCGCGCCGGGCTCCGACCAGCGCGGCGCCAGCTCCACGCCCGACCACGCGCCGCCCGAGCCCGCCGCCCGAGACAGCGGCGGCGGGTACAGCACCTGCGGCGCGTTGTCGTTCTCGTCCACGATCACCAGCACCACCGACACGTTGCTGCTCAGCGCCGGCGCGCCGCCGTCCTCCGCACGCACCCACAGCCGCAGCTCGCGCACCTCCTCGTAGTCCAAGGAGCGCAGCGCGTACAGCGCGCCCGTCTCCGCCTGCACCGACACGTACGACGACAGCGCCGCGCCCCGCACCCGCCCCTCCGCCAGCCGGTACCGCACGCGCGCGTTCTGCCCCCAGTCCGCGTCCGTGGCGCGCACCGTCAGCACCAGCGCGCCCGCCGCGTTGTTCTCCCACACGCGCGCGCTGTAGCGCTCCTCCGCGAACACCGGCGCGTTGTCGTTCACGTCCAGCACCCGCAGCGCCAGCACCGCGCTGCTCTGCAGCGCCGGCGACCCGCCGTCGGCCGCCCGCACCGTCACGTTGTACTCCGACACCTGCTCCCGGTCCAGCTCTCTCGCTGTCACCACACGGTAGTAGCTGCCGTGGGAGCTCTGCAGTCGGAACGGGACGTCCCCATCGAGGGAGCAGCGCACCTCGCCGTTGGCTCCCGAGTCCCGGTCCTGCACGTGCAACAGGGCGACCACCGTCCCCGATGGCGCATCCTCAGAGATCTCACTCAGTGACGATGACACGGTGAGTTCGGGTGCGTTGTCGTTGACGTCTGCTACAGTTATCGTAAGTTTTGCCGAGTCAAAAAGGCCTCCGCCATCATGTGCCTGCACCTCCAGTTCATAAGAGTCGCCTTCCTCGAAGTCCAGGCTACGCAATAGCGTGATGGCTCCTGTGTTTACCTCCAGAAGGAATATTTTCAAGACTTTTTCGGTTATTTTCTTCAGTGAGTATTTTACGTGTCCGTTCGGCCCCTCGTCGGCGTCCGTGGCCGTGACAGTGACGAGGACAGAGCCCACGGGCACGTCCTCGGGCACACGCACCATGTACTCCGCCTGGATGAACACGGGCGCGTTGTCGTTCGCATCCAGCACGGTCACACGGATCCGAGCCGTGCCCGTCCGTGCCGGATCGCCGCCGTCCATCGCCCTCAGCACCAGCTCGTGAAACGCCGCCGCCTCCCGGTCCAGCGCCTTGGCCAGCACCAGCTCGGGACGCTGATCGCCGCCGGGGCCCGCCTGCACGGCCAGCGAGAAGTGCTCGTCACCGCTCAGCTCGTAGCTCTGCAGGGAATTCCGGCCCGAGTCCGGTTCATGTGCGTCTGGCAGGGGAAACCGCGACCCCGGGGCTGTCGTCTCGCTCATTCTGAGCTCTATTTCTGCCTCTTGGAAGCTGGGCGCATTATCATTAATGTCAGTGATTTCTACCTCTATTCCATAAACCTTCATTTCCCCCTCCACGATCAGTTCACAGCGCAGCACGCATTGCTGCACACGCTCGCACAGCTGCTCTCTGTCGATCCTCTCCGCCGTCACTAAATGTCCCGTCTTCCCGTGCAAAGCGAAATACTGCATGCGACCTCTTTCTATAATGCGAACGCTGCGGTCTCTGAGCTCTGGCAACTGCAGCCCCAGGTCCTTGACCACGTCGCCCACGAACGAGCCCTTGGGCAGCTCCTCGGGCACCGAGTAGCGCAGCTGCCCCCACGCCGCCTCCCACGCCGCCAGCAGGACGGCCCAGAGCACAGCTCGCTGCCGCCGGCCCCAGCGCCTCCCCCCCCAGCTCATCTCCGCCAACTTAGCTTCCCGCTGCCGCTGCTGCTCAGCTCCCAGCGCTTGCTGACCTTTCCTACCGGCCTCTCCGCTCCCGGGCCCTGCCCCAACCTCCGCCGCCTCTCCGCCGCACGGATCCGCACCGGCAGGACGATCGCACACCGCCGCCCGGGCTGCCCACCCACCAATCCAGCGATCGAGCTGCGATCCAGCCTGGCCGCAGCGGGCGGGGCTGGCGGCAGCGCTCCGATCCTCCTCTCGCTCCTCTCGGTCAACAGCGGCGCCCGCAGCCTCCTCCCGGCACTGCAGCCACCCAGCGTGGCCGAACGCTGCCTCGACCACGGACAGCTCTCGGGGACAGCGCAGCGCCAAGGAGACATCGGGCCCTGTCCAGCTGGGACCGCCTGCCTCTGCTTTTCTCCAGCCCGTCTCTTCTTTGAGAAGCTCATCAAGACCGGTAAGAAGGCAGAGACGTCTTTGTGCTGTTTCTACCGCAGAGGAAAATGTTTTTGTAATGGTGAAACAATACTGATGGAAAATTCTATTAATAAGCAGAAGTATTACAAGTCATAGCCTATTAGTTCAATACCACAATTTCCTCCACTAATTGCCCAGCATTTTCAGCAGCCATGGTTGGATGACATTTTTATTTCCCTCATCTTTTCTGGCAATATACCTTAGTATTGGAATGCCATTAGCAACCTCAGATTTCCAAACCCATGTGATAGCACAAGCCAGAAGCCGATTTTTCTATGTTCAGGTTCTTAAGGTGGTCACAAACCTTATCATCTCTTACAGTGGGAGGGACTTTTTTTCCCGCAGTTCTTACCTTGAGCTCCATCCACTTGATAGGTGTGGGAAGAGACCTTGTCAGTGATGACTGAGGCAAAGATATGGCTAAGTACCTCAGGCTTCTTGTGGTCTGTTTTTATCAGTTTATTTGTCAGTTGTGTTCATCAGGAGACATACAGGGTTTTAAAACCTTCTTCTTCCTGACTTACCTGTAGAAGCCCTTCTTGCTATTCTTTGCATTCCTTGTAGAGTTCAGCTCCAGCCATGCCGTGGTCAACCTGACCCTACCCCAATACAACCAGGCAACATCTCTCTACTCTTCCAGAACACTTGTCCCTGCTCTCACTGCTGTGCATTTCTTTTTTGCCCCTTAATTTGACCAGCAAGTCTTCCCTCAGCCACGCTGGTCAGTTCCCGTCTTATCCCAATTTCCTATACATGGGTTCAAGAGGTCATGCACCGTATGGAAAACATCCCTAATGATCTGCCAGGTCTTCTGCTCCCTTCTCGATCAGGGCACTTTCACTTGAGGGGCCCCACTGCCTAACCCTTTAAGTGCTGGAAGTTTGTTTTCCTAAAATTCAGGGTCCTGACTTTACTCTTTGCCTGATCTATATCCCTCAGGACTAAGAACTTGCATGGTCATGGCAGGCCAGGCTGACTCCAATCTTGATATCTATGATTAGCTCACATGTGTTAATAACCAGAAGGTCCAGAAAAGCATTTCCTCTGCTAAGAACTGGACTAAAGTCTTAATCCTTCCTGAAGGGCACCTCCAGTCTTCTTCCTGGGAGAACTCAGCAGTGTGTTCAGGTCTTTTTAGACAGGACACTGCCTCCCCCTCTCACAGGGTAAAAGCCATAATAAACTACCTGTTTATGAACTGGCTTGGACACTTGAAGCCTCAAACTGGAATGATGTGTAGTCCTACATCCCTTTAGATGTGGAGAACATTTAGTAGAGGTAACTTCACACAGGAATCCAGCAACACACACAAAGTCAAGCAGATCCCAGTTCCAGGAAAGGGAAAGTGCCCCTGTTCCACTCAGTCAAGACATTACAGGACTTTCATACAGTAAACCAGTTTTATTCATAATTTTTAGAGTTCCAGTAAAAGAAGTTTGCATGCAGACTTCTTGCTTGCAGGTGTCTTTCTCACCAGTGGCAAGGGGGAACCTGTCTGCAGGCTCCTTGGTTAAAATGAGATGATTCTAACCCCCCACCAATATATCTGTGGAGCAGAACACAGCACAGCAGAGGCCTGTGTCTTCTCAGATTAACTGGATTATGGATCACTTCATCCTTGATGTTCATCAGTCTTCTGGTCAGCATTACTACACCATTCCCTCCCCAGCACTTACCTTTTCATCTGGGCCTTGTGGAAGTAGTCCTGCTGTAGTCCTCTGCATTTCATGATATCAAAGCTTCTCTCTGGTGCAGTTTTTACTCACTAAATTCCCATCTCCAGACACTCCCAAAAAATATTTCCCAAGGGCAGTAATTCCTGATTTGTGCCATTCTTTTCCAAAATTCCTACATCTGAAGTGTTACAAACACCTTGTAATCACCATTTGCGAATGAAGCTGTCAGAAGATTTGAGAAGGCTACTCCCCTAAATCACAGCTTTACAGAAGCTTTAGCACACCCAGGGCAGTTGAGGTAGAGCCCAGTTTCCCCTGACCTGCCTATTACTGGACTCCATCTCAGCCAGGTCAGTGCTCAAAAGAACAATAGAGGCCTGATAGCATTTCCATAGTCCTCCCAATTTTCCTGAGTGTTGATTCAGCTGCATCCTGAAACAGGAGAAGTGTGCCCACTCACCCACTACCTAGGCCAAAGTAAAATACAAAGACTGTCTCCACACAGGACATTCAGGTGTTCTCTTTATTTCAGTTTTACACTTAGGGGTATGCAAGTTTACCATGTTAAACTTTATAACTTCAACAAAACACAGCGTGAGACTTTCTGAATATCCCGTGCATCACAGACATCATTCAAGTAATTAGTTATTGTATATATCAGTGGCAGTCCTTAAGCAGGAAAGGAAAGATAATGCTCAGACTCAGTTCAGAAAATAGCAGGAGAAAGAGCAAAAACGGGGATGAAAATGCTCTAGCACAGATAGGAAAATTCATGTAGGGACAGCTTTTTACACCCAACAAGAAATCATTGTATATAGGAACAATAAGAAGACCAACATCAATCTCCTTTTTACCATTTCATATTGATTCTACCCTTCAGAAAATGCTCTCTGAAAGACATATGGAGTTTTCATGAAACGTAGCCAAAGGAAATGAACATGTTTTCAAAACTTAGTACAGTTGTAGTAAACCAAATACCATTTGTGCTGTTATATTTCTGTATTTCAAATAGACAGAACACCGAGCACTGCTTTATAGTGCAAAAAGAATATTTTGTTGTATATTTTACTGTTTTTTCTGCCCTGGGGAGTACAAGACTCCTGTTCTGAGAGGGTGAATATACTCTTCTTGCCAGCTGAGCTGCAATTGCCTGCATTTCAAAAGGTGGATGGAAGCAACTCCACCATTCACCGGGCAGCACTAGTGAATCGTATGCAGACACACAGTGGCTATGTTGACTGACAGGAAACCAAAGCACACAGAGCCGACACATCTTAAACAGAGACATCGAGAACTCAGGGAATAAAGAGCCCAATCCTCACACAACATTGTGACACTCTACTCTCAATATCTTTGCATTCCTCAGTTTGGAAAGCAGTTTTGTGTATTTTATGAAGGAGGAGAACTGTCTGTCAAACAGTGCCCTTGTGTCACAGGAAAGAAAAAAAGCTCCACTGTTTCATTGGACAGCAAGAGAGACAAGAGCATAGGGGGAGGGGTAAAACTATTTTTAAAACCTTTAAGAAATTACCATCCAAAGCTGAAACATATTATTGACTTACTGAGAGTACCTGAGTTTCTTTTATTTCCTTGGTTGTGTTTTCGGAGTGCCAGAAAAATTTATTCAGACTGACAGTAAGGAGGAAGTAGATTACAGCAATTGAAAATACAGATTTACTACAGAAGAACCATTGCCACCTGCTGCTGCCTGGATCCCTTTCTCCCACGGGCATTGAAGCCTCTGGCAGTGCAGAGCCCAGCTAGTTGAAGGAAAGAGAATTGAAGTGTCCTGCAGAGAGAGTGCCAGGATTGTCTGGTGCCGTGTCCTCGGTGCTGACAGGGACACAGGGGAAATGCTGTTCATCCTCCGGGCCGTGGCCCACGGCGCAGTGCTGTGCTGGCACGCTGGGGAGGATGGGCTTGAGGAATTTGAACTCGCTGTTGCCCGAGCCCGTTGTGAGGCTGATCTCGTAGCAATAGGCGCGGGGCAGGCTCCCTGCAGCGGCCCCATCGGCCAGGCCGCTCTGCAAGTTGTCGGCACCATAAAGCACATGGCCAGCCTTCAGCTCCTTTCTCTTGCACACCTTGCGAGCCACAAAGAGTGCCGTGGAGACGAGGAAGAGCAGGGAGACACACACCAGGGCAATGATTAAATAGGTGGTCAGGGAGCCAGCCTGATCCTCTGGGGCCGGGCTGCCGTGCCCGGGGAGGCGCACGTCTGACAAGTCCTTGAGCAGGAGCGCGCTCACAGCTGCCGTGGCCGACAGGGGCGGCTTGCCGTTGTCTCTGACCAGGACAAGGAGCTTCTGCCTCACGCTGTCTCTCTCCGTCACCGGCCTCCTCAGACGCACCTCCCCGCTGTGGACACCCACCGTGAACAGCCCTGGCTCGCTGGCCCTCAGCAGGTGGTACGAGAGCCACGAGTTCTGCCCGGAGTCGGCATCCACGGCCACCACTTTGGTGATGAGGTAGCCCGCCTCGGCCGACACGGGCACCAGCTCACTGGACGCTGGGCTGCTGTCCTGGCCTGGGTACAGCACGAGCGGGGCGTTGTCGTTCTCGTCCAGCACCACGAGGCGGACGCTGACGTTGGCTCTGAGGGGAGGAGAGCCCGCGTCAGAGGCACTGACCGTCACCTCCGTCTGCCTCAAGCGCTCGTAGTCCAGGGGCCGCAGCACAAACACGTGCCCGTTCTCAGAGTTCACAGACACGCACGAGCACCAAGGCCCCTCTGCCGCTTGCACCGCTGCCAGGGAATAGCTCACCTTGCCATTGAGCCCCACGTCAGCGTCGGCAGCGCTGACGGCTCCAACAAACACCGTGGGCACATTGTTCTCACGCACGTACATGGTGTACGACGTCTGGTTGAAGACGGGGGCGTTGTCATTGACATCCGAGATGTCCACGGTGAAGGTCTGCGTGCTCGTCAGAGGAGGCGACCCCGCGTCTGCTGCCGTCACCCTGAGGATGTAGCGAGCCGTCTCCTCGCGGTCCAGCGCGCTCACTGTCACCAGCTCATAGTAATTCTTATAGGCTGGCCGCAGCGAGAAGAAGAGCTGATCCTCGAGGCCACATGAGATCTTCCCGTTGGCCCCAGAATCCCGGTCCCTGACCGTAAACAGGGCAACCACCGTGCCAGGCGCTGTGTTCTCGGGGAGGGGACTGCTGAAGGAGCTGACCACCACCTCTGGGGCATTGTCATTCACATCCACCACCTCCACCAGCACTTTGCAAATAGCTGAGAGTCCCCCGCCATCTGTGGCTGTCACACTCAGCTCGTGAGTTTGTGCTGCCTCATAGTCCAGAGGTTTTGTGAGTCTGATTTCCCCACTCATAGAGTCAATTGAGAATGGGCTGTCAGTTTGACTTAGTGGTTGGCTTAACTCATAAGTTATGTCTCCATTAATTCCTGTATCCCGATCAGCTGCAACCACACTCACCACCGTAGAACCCTCTGGTGAGTTTTCCAAAACCTGACAAACATATGTTTTCTGTGTGAAGACAGGAGCGTTGTCATTTACGTCTAGAACAAGAATGTTGACCTGGGTGGTCCCACTCCGTGGTGGAGAGCCACCATCCACAGCAATGAGACTAAAAGTCATCTCTTCATGCTCCTCTCTGTCTAGTGGCTTTTCCAAGACCAGTTCCACGCTTCTGTCATTCTCACTGTTACTGCCATAGGAGACACTGAAATATTCGTTCTCGGGAGAGATGCTATATCTCTGGACAGAATTGCTGCCAATATCCAGATCCCGAGCTGCTTTCACTGGGAAATGGGTGCCAGGGTCGCTCCTTTCCACAATCTTAAAAGTGACACGTTCCACGGGGAAAACAGGTGAATGGTCATTGATATCCTCCAGAGCCACCTCGACCCGAAAGAACTGCAGGGGGTTGGAGAGCAGCAGCTCGAAGGGGAGCATGCAGGTGGCGGACTGGCCGCACAGCTCCTCCCGGTCCAGCCTCCCCGCCACGAGCAGGCGGCCGGAGCCGCGCTCTAAGGCAAAATGCTGCCGGCCGTCCTCCGACACCAGGCGGGCGCGGCGAGCCGAGAGCTGCGCCGGCGTCAGCCCCGCGTCCTCCGCCAGCTCGCCTACCAGGGAGCCGCTTTCCGCCTCCTCGGCTACGGAGTAGCGGATGGGCTCGGCGCGAGCGGGCGGCAGCCACAGGAAAGCAGACAGACAAAGCACTTGCCTTGCGATCGCCATGGCGCGGCGGCGGCGGCGGCGGCGGCGGCCGGGGTCGGTGTGGCGGCTGTCCCCGGTGATTCCCCGCCGAAAGCGGCCAAGCGCGGGCCGGGCTCCTTCTCTCGCTGCCTCCGATTCCGCCGAAAGCGGCGCCTGACACAGCCGGGGGGTGCCGGCAGCGGCTGACACGGGGCAGCGCTCGCCAACGCAGCCGCTGCCACCTCCGGCCGGCTGCGCTGCGCTGATCTCAGCTCGCTCGGGCTCAGCTGCGCTGCGCTGAGCCGAGCTGCGCTGGGCTGGGCCGGGCCGGGCTCGGCCGCCTCCGCTGCCGCAGCCGCTCGGCGCCGCCTTGGCCGAGGGCACCACCCAGCGGTGCGCGCTGCAACTGCGCCCGCCGCCGCCCGCAGCCCGCGCTGCCGCTCGCCCCGGACCGAGAGTCCAAAGCTTTCCACACACCCGGCGCCAGCATCACAATGCGCCCTTTCCCAGGCCAGCGGCAAGCCCACACCCACACCAGAACCACACAGCCTCATCGCTCAGCAGGACAAACCGAGCACGCAGTGGGCGATGCTGACAGCACGAGCAGCAAATGGAAACTCCCCGCCTGCATCTCCACGCTCACCAACTGAACCCACCCATCCCTTCTGTCAAGCGTCAGAGTGAGAAAATCCCTCTCTGAAGCTTGAAAAGCCTTGACAGGTGTTTCCCAGAACGATCGTCTCTACAAAAGAATTCTGTCTCCAAGTAAGTAGTCAATCTTTATTTCTATTCTACATATTTCTACAATTTTTAAACTCAGAATTATAGCAATGTTGAATGTTTTAACTTTGGTACAAAACAACTTGAGGGTGTCTTTATGAATATTCCATGCATCACAGACATCATTCAAACAAACAGTTATTATAGCTGGGGTGGCAATCCTTCTCCAGAGGAGTGAGCAAAATAATTCTCAGTACAGTTAAGTAGATAAAAAGAGAAAGGGGAAAAAGCAGAATGCAAACACTCTAACACAAATGGAGAAATCCTTTTGGGACAGCTTTCTAGTCACATTAAGAATACCCTGAATTCAGAAACATGAATGAGCAAAGAAAACTCAAAGACCTGTTTTCATGTTCTTCTTGGTTCATGCTCCAGAAAATTATATTTCATGGACATGTGTTTTTTCCATGTATATAAGGATGATTAAAAGGTTTGAATGTCTCTCTACATTTAATATCCACCCAAATGCCTCTTCCAGTGCTGTATTTCCTAGACAATCTCAGGTGGATGGAACACAAATCCCACACACACGTCAAAGGAAGATTCTATTGTGCATTTTCCTCCTCTTTTCTGCCTTGAAAAAGATGAGGCCCCGGTACTCAGAGGGTCAAAATGGCCTTTTAGTCTGTAGAGCTGGATTTGCCAGCATTGCAATGGCTTGATAGGACAACTTCACTCTTTCACAGGACAGCATTAGTGAGGCATTGACAGATGCACAAGGGCCAAACAGACTGACATACTGAGAAGAAAGTGTAACACAGAGAGCCCACACCCCTCAGACACAGACATCCAAAGCCCCATAAGGAAAAACCCCCATGCTAAAAGAACATCATGACACAGTATTCAGAACTAACTTATTTTCTGAGATGGGCAAATGGCTTTGGGCCATTTCAACAAGTGTGAGATTTGTTTACACAACTGTGCCATTGTGTTATAGCAACGAATAAATAAGAGTTTCATGGTCTGGTCTGCCAGCAAGAGATACAGGAGAATAGCTGGAGTGCTAACCCCCTTCTTAAAGCCTATCAGAAATGACCACATCAGAGATGAAGCATATCACAGCCAGAGTGAGAGCTCAACTTTATCTAAGTTGCTTCAATTTTTCCCTTTTGGAGAACATGACAACTTCTATTTGGACTTAGAATATAAGGGAAATTGCTTATGCCATTTGGAAACACAAGTTTTCTCTGGAGGAACCATTGTCATCTGCTGCTGCCTGGTGCCCTTTCTACCATGGGCATTGAAGCCTCTGGCAGTGCAGAGCCCAGCTAGTTGAAGGAAAGAGAATTGAAGTGTCCTGCAGAGAGAGTGCCAGGATTGTCTGGTGCCGTGTCCTCGGTGCTGACAGGGACACAGGGGAAATGCTGTTCATCCTCCGGGCCGTGGCCCACGGCGCAGTGCTGTGCTGGCACGCTGGGGAGGATGGGCTTGAGGAATTTGAACTCGCTGTTGCCCGAGCCCGTTGTGAGGCTGATCTCGTAGCAATAAGCGCGGGGCAGGCTCCCTGCAGCGGCCCCATCGGCCAGGCCGCTCTGCAAGTTGTCGGCACCATAAAGCACATGGCCAGCCTTCAGCTCCTTTCTCTTGCACACCTTGCGAGCCACAAAGAGTGCCGTGGAGACGAGGAAGAGCAGGGAGACACACACCAGGGCAATGATTAAATAGGTGGTCAGGGAGCCAGCCTGATCCTCTGGGGCCGGGCTGCCGTGCCCGGGGAGGCGCACGTCTGACAAGTCCTTGAGCAGGAGCGCGCTCACAGCTGCCGTGGCCGACAGGGGCGGCTTGCCGTTGTCTCTGACCAGGACAAGGAGCTTCTGCCTCACGCTGTCTCTCTCCGTCACCGGCCTCCTCAGACGCACCTCCCCGCTGTGGACACCCACCGTGAACAGCCCTGGCTCGCTGGCCCTCAGCAGGTGGTACGAGAGCCACGAGTTCTGCCCGGAGTCGGCATCCACGGCCACCACTTTGGTGATGAGGTAGCCCGCCTCGGCCGACACGGGCACCAGCTCACTGGACGCTGGGCTGCTGTCCTGGCCTGGGTACAGCACGAGCGGGGCGTTGTCGTTCTCGTCCAGCACCACGAGGCGGACGCTGACGTTGGCTCTGAGGGGAGGAGAGCCCGCGTCAGAGGCACTGACCGTCACCTCCGTCTGCCTCAAGCGCTCGTAGTCCAGGGGCCGCAGCACAAACACGTGCCCGTTCTCAGAGTTCACAGACACGCACGAGCACCAAGGCCCCTCTGCCGCTTGCACCGCTGCCAGGGAATAGCTCACCTTGCCATTGAGCCCCACGTCAGCGTCGGCAGCGCTGACGGCTCCAACAAACACCGTGGGCACATTGTTCTCACGCACGTACATGGTGTACGACGTCTGGTTGAAGACGGGGGCGTTGTCATTGACATCCGAGATGTCCACGGTGAAGGTCTGCGTGCTCGTCAGAGGAGGCGACCCCGCGTCTGCTGCCGTCACCCTGAGGATGTAGCGAGCCGTCTCCTCGCGGTCCAGCGCGCTCACTGTCACCAGCTCATAGTAATTCTTATAGGCTGGCCGCAGCGAGAAGAAGAGCTGATCCTCGAGGCCACACGAGATCTTCCCGTTGGCCCCAGAATCCCGGTCCCTGACCGTAAACAGGGCAACCACCGTGCCGGGCGCTGTGTTCTCGGGGAGGGGACTGCTGAAGGAGCTGACCACCACCTCTGGGGCATTGTCATTCAAATCCACCACTTCCACCAGCACTTTGCAGATGGCTGAGAGTCCCCCGCCATCTCTGGCTCTCACACTCAGTTCGTGAGTTTGTGCTGCCTCATAGTCCAGAGGTTTTGTGAGTTTAATTTCTCCACTTAGAGGGTCAATCACAAATATTGAGTCGCTCTCGTCTGCAGCTTCACTGAGTTGATAGGTAATTTCCCCATAGACACCTGCATCCTGATCAGTTGCCAGCACTGTTAAAACTACTGAGCCTTCTGGCATGTTTTCCAGAACCTCACCAATGTACTCTTCCTGTGCGAAGATGGGAGCATTGTCATTTGCATCTAGAATGATAATTTTCACTTCGGTTGTCCCAGTCCTGGGAGGAGACCCACCATCTACAGCAATGAGGCTAAAACTCATGTCTGCCTGCTCCTCTCTGTCTAGTGGCTTCTCCAAAACAAGCTCAAGAAACTTCTTTCCCGTGATTCGAGTACCCGATGAGATACTAAAGAACTCGTTCTCGGGAGAGATGCTGTATGTCTGGACTGTGTTGCTGCCAATATCGAGATCCCGAGCAGCCTCCAGTGGGAATCGTGAATCAGGGTTGCTCGTTTCGGGGATGTCAAAAGTCACTCGATTCTCGGGGAAAACGGGTGAATGATCATTGATATCCTCCAGAGCCACCTCGACCCGAAAGAACTGCAGGGGGTTGGAGAGCAGCAGCTCGAAGGGGAGCATGCAGGTGGCGGACTGGCCGCACAGCTCCTCCCGGTCCAGCCTCCCCGCCACGAGCAGGCGGCCGGAGCCGCGCTCTAAGGCAAAATGCTGCCGGCCGTCCTCCGACACCAGGCGGGCGCGGCGAGCCGAGAGCTGCGCCGGCGTCAGCCCCGCGTCCTCCGCCAGCTCGCCTACCAGGGAGCCGCTTTCCGCCTCCTCGGCTACGGAGTAGCGGATGGGCTCGGCGCGAGCGGGCGGCAGCCACAGGAAAGCAGACAGACAAAGCACTTGCCTTGCGATCGCCATGGCGCGGCGGCGGCGGCGGCGGCGGCGGCCGGGGTCGGTGTGGCGGCTGTCCCCGGTGATTCCCCGCCGAAAGCGGCCAAGCGCGGGCCGGGCTCCTTCTCTCGCTGCCTCCGATTCCGCCGAAAGCGGCGCCTGACACAGCCGGGGGGTGCCGGCAGCGGCTGACACGGGGCAGCGCTCGCCAACGCAGCCGCTGCCACCTCCGGCCGGCTGCGCTGCGCTGATCTCAGCTCGCTCGGGCTCAGCTGCGCTGCGCTGAGCCGAGCTGCGCTGGGCTGGGCCGGGCCGGGCTCGGCCGCCTCCGCTGCCGCAGCCGCTCGGCGCCGCCTTGGCCGAGGGCACCACCCAGCGGTGCGCGCTGCAACTGCGCCCGCCGCCGCCCGCAGCCCGCGCTGCCGCTCGCCCCGGACCGAGAGTCCAAAGCTTTCCACACACCCGGCTCCAGCATCACAATGCGCCCTTTCCCAGGCCAGCGGCAAGCCCACACGCACACCAGAACCACACAGCCTCATCGCTCAGCAGGACAAACCGAGCACGCAGTGGGCGATGCTGACAGCACGGGCAGCAAATGGAAACTCCCCGCCTGCATCTCCACGCTCACCAACTGAACCCACCCATCCCTCCTGTCAAGGGACAGAGTGAGAAAAACGTCGCTGAAACTTGAAAAGCCTTGACAAGTCTTTCCCGGAGAGAACGTCTCTACAAAGAATTCTGTCTCCACGTAAGTAGTCAGGGTGCTCCCTTTATTTCAATTCTATATATTTTTACAATTTTTAAACTCAGTGTTCTACCAATGTTAAACTATCTAACTTCAGCACAGAAGAACTTGAGGTTGTCTTTATGAATATTCCATGCATTACAGACATTGTTCAAACAACCAGTTATTATTGCTGGGGTAGCAATCCTTCTCCAGTGGAATGAGCAAAATAATTCTCAGCACAGTTAAATAAATAAAAGGAGACAGGGGAAAAGCACACTGTAAAGGCTCTAACACAAACGGAGAAACTTCTGTAGGGACAGCTTTCTAGTCACATCAAGAAACCTCTGAATTCAAAACAAGCATGAGGAAAAAACCTCAAAGTTCTGTTTTCAAGTTCTTCTCGATTCTAACTCCAGAAAATGACATTTCCTGTCCTGCACATTTGGCGTTTCCATGCATATAGTAACGATTGGAAGGATTTATTGGCTCTCTACATTTAAAAACCCAACTGAATACATACTCTAGTGCTGTATTTCCTAGACAATCCCAGGTGGACAGAACACAAAAGCCACACACAGGTCAAAGGAAGATTCTCTTATGCATTTTCCTACTCCTCTCTGCCCTTAAGAAGGTAAGACCCCTGTACTCATGGGGTCAAAAGAGCCTTTTACTCTGCAGAGCTGGAATTGCCAGCATTGCAATGGCTGGATGAGACAAATTCACTCTTTCACTGGGCAGCATTAGCGAAGTATCTGCAGATGCACAAGGGCCGAACAGACAGACATGTTGAGAAGAAATTGTAACACACAGGGCCCACACATCTCACACAGAGACATCCAAAGCCCCAGAAAGAAAAACACCCATGATAACAGTACATAATGTCATGGAATTTAAAACCATCTTGCGTTTCTGAGCAGGGCAATGGACTTTTGGCCATTTCAGCAAGTGTGAGACCTGTCTACACAACTGTACTATTGTATTAATATCAATGAAAGCTTGAAAAGCCTTGACAGGTGTTTCCCAGAAAGATCGTCTCTACAAAGAATTCTGTCTCTAGGTAAGTAGTCAGTTGTCCTGGGGTGACTTTATGATACTGGTATCCCCAATCGTCTGGTTTATGTCATATATTAAGTTCTGCACCTTTAAGACTGGCTTTGAGAGCAAGAGAGGGAGAAGAAGAAGCGCGCAGTTTGTGTTAAGGAAAAACATCACTCCCACACATCTCGCTCCTGGACTGTGGTGTCTGCAGCACGGACAGACAGCGGGACAGAGCTTCTCTCTGGCTTTTAGTTAGTTCTAGCTAGCTGAGGCAGAGGAGTTCCCTGGACCTTTGTTTGGTTTTTTTTCCCAATTTTCTTGGATCTGTGCAAGCCTGCTCTGGACTGAACACCCAGCCAAACCCCGAGAGCTCACGCCTGTGGCCCACCGGGGCCTGGGCCTCAGCACTTTCCAGCGCCGGAGGGACTGATAAGAACCTGAGCGAACCGAGCTACACCACATGAAAAGGACTTTTTTTTTTCTTCCTAGATTTGCCATCCCATCGAACAGCAAGAGGTTTTATTATTTAATATTACTCAATTTCTGTTAAATAAACAGCTTTTTCCACTTCTCTCCAAGGAATTTTTTTTTTTTCTTTTCCCAGACCAGTTGGTAGGGAGGGGCATTTCCCTGGGGAAATCCCCATTTGGAGTTTTCCTTCCTACTTTGCCCTAAACTAAGACATCAGTATTTATTTCAATTCTAGATATTTTTACAATTTTTAAACTTAGAGTTATAGCAATGTTGAACGTTCTAACTTTGGTACAAAACAACTTGAGGGTGTCTTTATGAATATTCCATGCATTACAGACATCGTTCAAACAACTAGTTATTATTGCTGGGGTGGCAATCCTTCTCCAGTGGAATGAGCAAAATAATTCTCAGTACAGTTAAGTAGATAAAAAGAGAAAGGGGAAAAAGCAGAATGCAAACACTCTAACATAAATGGAGAAACTTCTGTAGGGACAGCTTTCTAGTCACATTAAGAAGCCCCTGAATTCAGAAACATGAACGAGCAAAGAAAACTCAAAGACCTGTCTTCATGTTCTTCTTGATTCTAACTCCAGAAAATTATATTTTATGGACATGTGTTTTTTCCATGTATATAAGGATGATTAAAAGGTTTGAATGTCTCTCTACATTTCATATACACCATAATGACCCTTCCAGTGCTGTATTTCCTAGACAATCTCAGGTGGATGGAACACAAATCCCACACACACGTCAAAGGAAGATTCTGTTGTGCATTTTCCTCTTCTTCTCTGCCTTGAAGAAGATGAGGCCTCTGTACTCAGAGGGTCAAAATGGCCTTTTACTCTGTAGAGCTGGATTTGCCAGCATTGCAATGGCTTGATGGGACAAATTCACTCTTTCACAGGACAGCATTGGTGGAGCATCGGCCAACGCAACAAAGGGTCGTACAGACTGACACACTGAGAAGAAAGTGTAACACAGAGAGCCCACACCCCTCACACAGAGACATCCAAAGCCACATAAGGAAAAAAAACATGCTAAAAGAACATCATGACACAGTATTCAGAACTAACTTATTTTCTGAGATGGGCAAATGGCTTTGGGCCATTTCAACAAGTGTGAGATTTGTTTACACAACTGTGCCATTGTGTTATAGCAACGAATAAATAAGAGTTTCAGGGTCTGGTCCGATAGCAAGAGATACAGGAGAATAACTGGCGTGCTAATCCCCTTCTTAAAGCCTATCAGAAAAGACCAGAACACAGATGAAGTATATTACTGCCAGAGTGAGAGCCCAACTTTCTTTTCATGGCTCCTATTTTTCTCTTTTTGGAGATCCTAAAAACTTCTACTCTGACTTAGAATATGAGGGAAATTGGTTATAGCATTTGGAAACACAAGTTGTCTCTGGAGGAACCATTGTCATCCGCTGCTGCCTGGATCCCAATATCCCACGGGCGTTGAAGCCTCTGGCAGTGCAGAGCCCAGCTAGCTGAAGGAAAGAGAATTGAAGTGTCCTGCAGAGAGAGTGCCAGGATTGTCTGGTGCTGTGTCGTCGGTGCTGACAGGGACACAGGGGAAATGCTGTTCATCCTCCGGGCCGTGGCCCACGGCGCAGTGCTGTGCTGGCACGCTGGGGAGGATGGGCTTGAGGAATTTGAACTCGCTGTTGCCCGAGCCCGTTGTGAGGCTGATCTCGTAGCAATAAGCGCGGGGCAGGCTCCCTGCAGCGGCCCCATCGGCCAGGCCGCTCTGCAAGTTGTCGGCACCATAAAGCACATGGCCAGCCTTCAGCTCCTTTCTCTTGCACACCTTGCGAGCCACAAAGAGTGCCGTGGAGACGAGGAAGAGCAGGGAGACACACACCAGGGCAATGATTAAATAGGTGGTCAGGGAGCCAGCCTGATCCTCTGGGGCCGGGCTGCCGTGCCCGGGGAGGCGCACGTCTGACAAGTCCTTGAGCAGGAGCGCGCTCACAGCTGCCGTGGCCGACAGGGGCGGCTTGCCGTTGTCTCTGACCAGGACAAGGAGCTTCTGCCTCACGCTGTCTCTCTCCGTCACCGGCCTCCTCAGACGCACCTCCCCGCTGTGGACACCCACCGTGAACAGCCCTGGCTCGCTGGCCCTCAGCAGGTGGTACGAGAGCCACGAGTTCTGCCCGGAGTCGGCATCCACGGCCACCACTTTGGTGATGAGGTAGCCCGCCTCGGCCGACACGGGCACCAGCTCACTGGACGCTGGGCTGCTGTCCTGGCCTGGGTACAGCACGAGCGGGGCGTTGTCGTTCTCGTCCAGCACCACGAGGCGGACGCTGACGTTGGCTCTGAGGGGAGGAGAGCCCGCGTCAGAGGCACTGACCGTCACCTCCGTCTGCCTCAAGCGCTCGTAGTCCAGGGGCCGCAGCACAAACACGTGCCCGTTCTCAGAGTTCACAGACACGCACGAGCACCAAGGCCCCTCTGCCGCTTGCACCGCTGCCAGGGAATAGCTCACCTTGCCATTGAGCCCCACGTCAGCGTCGGCAGCGCTGACGGCTCCAACAAACACCGTGGGCACATTGTTCTCACGCACGTACATGGTGTACGACGTCTGGTTGAAGACGGGGGCGTTGTCATTGACATCCGAGATGTCCACGGTGAAGGTCTGCGTGCTCGTCAGAGGAGGCGACCCCGCGTCTGCTGCCGTCACCCTGAGGATGTAGCGAGCCGTCTCCTCGCGGTCCAGCGCGCTCACTGTCACCAGCTCATAGTAATTCTTATAGGCTGGCCGCAGCGAGAAGAAGAGCTGATCCTCGAGGCCACACGAGATCTTCCCGTTGGCCCCAGAATCCCGGTCCCTGACCGTAAACAGGGCAACCACCGTGCCGGGCGCTGTGTTCTCGGGGAGGGGACTGCTGAAGGAGCTGACCACCACCTCTGGGGCATTGTCATTCACATCCACCACCTCCACCAGCACTTTGCAGATGGCTGAGAGTCCCCCACCATCTGTGGCACTTACTCTCAGCTCGTGACTTTGTGCTGCCTCGAAATCCAGAGGTTTTGTGATTTTAATTTCACCAGTTATGGCATCAATCACAAATACTGAGTCACTCTGGCCCACTGCTTGGATGAGTTGATAGGAAATTTCCCCATAGACATCTGCATCCTTATCCATTGCCAATGCAGTCAGCACTACAGACCCTTCTGGCATGTTCTCCAAAACCTTCACAATGTAACGCTCTTGCGTGAAGATGGGAGCATTGTCATTTACATCCAGAATTATAATAGAGATCTGAACGGTCCCACTCCGGGGTGGAGAGCCCCCATCTATAGCAATGAGACTGAAACTCATCTCTGCCTTCTCCTCTCTGTCTAGTGGCTTCTCCAAAACAAGTTCAACGTATTTGTCATCCTCGCTTTGACTTC